GTGCAGCAAACCGCGCACGTACGAAGAAGACATTCTAGCCATTTCTATTGTCAGCAACAACTTCATCGTGGGTTGACCAATTTACCACATGATCCATATTTCCAACTGAGGCAGATTTCGGAAATGTGTCTGTTGCCTTACGATTTTTATGGCTTTCATTTTCAGGAGATTTACTCTTTGCAACTATCTTAAAGTCACTACTAAAATTCAAGCTTTCAGTAACATGCTTCCATATTACTAAAAGTGCCTCTCATGTTGTTGAAGGACTTTTAACAACATAATTTTTGTTGGTAGAAACATTGTTGGATAAGCCTTGCTGGTTGATACATCACCAACAAGCAAATTGTTACTAATACATCAGCAACATAATGTATATTACTGAAAATATAGTTTCAGCAACGTGTTTAATGTCGGTGAAATTATTCACTGGAATCCGACAAAAGTCATTGGTAAGTGGTGAAGAGTTTTCAATAACTTAAGGCACGTTGTTGAAAACATGCTTTTAATAGCATGACTTATGTTGTTGAAAATCAATGGTAAACCAGCAGTCGGAGGATGAGAATAAATTTAACTCCATTTTTAACAACATAGGCCATGTTGCTGAACATAGGCCATGTTGCTGAAAGCATATTTTCAGTAACATGGCTTATGTTGCTAAAAGTTAAGAGGAGTGTATATACCTCACTTTTCAGCAACAAAAATTATGTTGCTGATAGTGCATTATCAGCAACATTGTTGCTGATAGTGAGGTAAATAATACATTAATTTTATAGTATTATTATTACATTATTTAAATTTGAAATTCACTTTTTTTTATAATTACCAAATATTAAAATTTTTAATATCTCATATCTCACATATAGTATAAATATTTATTATTTCTATATTATTAAATTTAAATTAAATAACTTAAGTTAATTAAGTCTAATTAAGTATCTTACCAAATTTAAAATTTTTATTTTGTTAAGAATTACCTACAAAACAAACAAAATAATAAAATTGTTAGTTATTATATATAAATTATTTATAAATATATTAACTTTCAAATAAATTGATACATATTTAATAATATAATATTTATAAAATATTTGAGAATTGGTGGAATTTATTTAATTAGTGATATATATGAAAATTTAATGCTAACAAAAAAAAATACAATTAACATATTGTATAATGGATGAAAATGGGTGAACAATTATATGGAGGACGTCTTTGTGCTACCAAAAAAAAAAAAGGATGGGAGATGGATAAGGAGATGGAATTGAGCAGGAGAAGTAAGTGAGAAGATCTACAAGACACATGGGAGATGGATGGGAATGGGGGAATATATAAAATTTTCAGCAACTTTCAACAATACAACTCATGTTGCTAAAAGTTTATCGCCTTTTTTAATTTTAAATCCATCACTCATTAGCAACATGTATGATGTTGCTAAAATTTAAAATACAACTCTTCCGCCACACTCTATACACTCTATTCAATGATTAATTTTAATGGTTAAATATCATTTTTGTCCCTCTACTATAGGAAAAAGTCATTTTTTAATCCATGTATTGAAAAAATATCGTTGCTAGCCCTTAAAATTTAAAATTCAATTCCTTTTTACCTTTATCTTCTTCTCTTTTCTATCTTATCCTCCCCTACCTCCGGTTTTTTTTGTTTTTTTTACCTCTACAAATCTACAGAAGCTAGGTCGTGGAACCCAACAATTGGGTTCCTCATAGAACCCTCCTACCTTCGACTTTTTTTTTTTTACCTCTGCAGATCTGCAGAAGTTGGGTTCTGTAGAACCCAGAAGCTGGGTAGTGGAACCCAGCAATCGGGTTCCTCGCAGAACCCTCCTACCTTCAGCTTTTTATTATTATTATTTTTTACCTATGTAGA